TGAAGGAAACTTCCAGGAAAGAGAAACCTAAATCTCTTTTCCTGTATCCTCTTCTATATTTAGCATAAACCAGGTAGAGCTAGGCATCAGCTCAGGGAAAGGAGTAAGGGGGTAAATCTGTGGTCTGAGCAGTTCTGGAGTTGCAGTGACATGAACCCCAGGTATCTAGAATCACAGTAAAGCAAGGCCTCTGGCTAGAGTTGTGAGTCTCCCAAGACTCCATTAGGTTCAGCAAAATACAATAATGAGAATTACAAGATATGAAGTGATCTGGAAAACCTTCCCAAACCCTCACCTATTCTGCAATAATCAGCTTGTCTGTCAAGCATCAGCTCTTCTCACACCTTATACAAGGCTCACAGTAAATTCTCTTATTCTCCCCCAACCTCCAAGAATTCTAGTCTGCTTCCCAGGGAAGCCAGACAACAGGCAGCCTGTCCAAACTACTTCTGCTCTGTCCAGCATTCAAACTACAAACTACCTATGAAATTTGGAAAATGAAGAATTGAAGAAAGAGGAGTGAAAAAAGCTGGCTTAAAGTTCAACATTCAAGTAACTAAGATCATGCCATCTAGTCCCATCACTTCATGGCAAATATACGGGAAAACAATGGAAACAGTGACAGATTTTATTTTCTTGGGCTCCAAAATCACTGTAGATGGTGACTACGGCCATGGAATTAAAAGATGCTTGCTCCTTGGAAGAAAAGCTATGGCAAACCTAGACAGCATATTAAAAAGCAAATACATCACTTTGCTGGTGAAGTTTCATCTAGTCAGAGCTATGGTTTTTCTAGTAGTCATGTACGATGTGAGTGTTGGACCATAAAGAAGGCTGAACGTCAAAGAATTAATGCTTTCAAACTGTGGTACTAGAGAAGACTCTTGAGAATCCTTGGATAGCAAGAATATCAAACCAGTCAATCCTAAAGAAAATCAACACTGAATATTCTTTGGAAAGACTTGATGCTGAAGCTGAAGTTCCAATACTTTGACTACCTGAAGCAGAGCCAACTCAGTGTTAAAGACCCTGGTGCTGGGGGAAATTGAGGGCTGGAGGAGAAGGGGACAACAGAAAATGAGATGGTTGGATGGCATCATCAACTCAAAAGACATGAGTTTGAGCAAACTCCAGGAGAAGGACAGGAAGCCTGGGGTGCTGCAGTCCATGGGGTGGCAAAGAGTCGGAAACAACTTAGTGACTGAACAACAATAACAATTCTTATATAGCTGTTTTGGCTTATACTTCAGAGGCCCCAAACAGTAGTAGTCTCTCCACAATAGTCCCCTTGACCCAGAAGGGGAGGCACAGGGAGGCACTTCCTCAGCAACCTCTCCTCACTCTGGGGTCCCATGCTGCTTCTAGGCAGCCTTACTGGACAGGATTTAATATAACCCCATTTTAGCTCAACTTGGGAGGCTCACAAGAAACCTCTGGCCCTCAAGAAACCATTACACATGCTTTGTTGCAACACCCTCTGGGAGTGCAGGCCAAAGCAAACATAGAAAGTCCTTCCTAGCTAGCCAGTCAGAATCTGATCCTCTAGATTTCCCAGGTAGGAGGCAGGTAGACAAAGTTCCTCTCTCTAAGTGGTCGAATGGAGCTCCTCCTTTATTTGTGTGGCAAGAAGCAGGTCTTCTGATCCTGTCTCTTTGATGGAAAGGAGACACACAGCATACCTACAGCTCTTTCCAGAGAGATTCATTTCAAGATTCTCTCTCAAGCTCCATTTTCTTGACACTCTTATACTTTCAGTTGCATCAGTTGAAACTTCCAATTTAACTTGGCTCTTAGCAGCCAAATTAAATCAACTTTTGGACATTAGGGTCATATAGAACAATCTCTTAAGCAGTTTAAATATATTTGTGTCTTTAGCTTACATTTTTCTATCTTTGAAAGGTTTAGTTTGATTTATTCAGTAGATTGGGCTTCCCTGGTGGCTGAGCAGTAAAGAATCTGCCTGCAATGCAGGAGCCACTGGAGACGGGTTCCATCCCTGGGTTGGGAAGGTCCCCTGGAGGAGGGCATAGCAACCAGCTCCAGTATTCTTGCCTGGAGAATTTCATGGACAGAGGAGCCTGGCGGGCTACAGTCCGTGGGGTCACAAAGAGTTAGACACAACTGAAGAGATTTAGCATGCATTCAGTAAATTAAGCGATTCAGAGGACGTTTGAAGGATGCTATTAATAGCAACAGTTCAATTTTCTCATTTCAGAGTAGAGATCTGAAGTCTTGTGAGAATTAACACAAAATATACAACCAAAGGGGTAAATCGCTGAGTATTTATTATAGAGCCATTAGAGAAGAGTATGAATGTGTTTAGGGGTTCTAGGAATAAAAAACTGGTTTCCAATTCTTTTTTTTTTTTTTAATTTTTGACTGTGCTGGGTCTTTTTGGGGGGCACGTGGGTTTCTGCTAGTTGTGGTGCCAGGGCTTCTCCTGCTGGGGAGCACAGATTGTAGGTGCCTGCGCTCAGTAGTTGCAGCATGCGGGCTTCTCTAGTTGTAGCACACAGGCTTAATTGCCCTGTACCATGGGGGATCTTAGTCCCCCAACCAGGGATTGAACCCTTGTCCCCTGCATTGGAAGGTGGATTCTTAACCACTGGACCACCAGGGAAATCCCTGGCTTCCACGTCATACCACATAACCCACTGTGCTAGACACTGTTCAGTGACATTGACCTACTCCTGTAGGGTCCCTCCTGCATCCCAAGGCTTGTAAAATTCAAAACTACATTTCTAAGACTTGTTTGCAGTTAAAGCTTGGATACAATTTAGGTTTTCCTATTGAGATAAACATCTGGGCTTGGAAAGCAAAGGGAAGCAAAGGCTACATTTCTGTGACAGGTTGGTGGGCAAACATGTTCCAACAGATGTGTTTACATCAGTCAAATCCATACCTCACTTTTTGAAGGCATCTGTGGTAACAACAGAAGTTTCCTGTCCTTTGGGTGGTTGCTCTAGTGGTATGATCTTACAAGGCCTGTGGAAGCCCTCTGCTTTCTGTTCCTCCTGCCCTTTTATCTACTCCTTTTTTTGTGAAATAGAATAATTTCTGCTTCCTGTTCTAAATCATGAGTGATATGCATATAGGCCATGAATATAAAATCTTAAAGATGGAAGGACCTCCTCTGCGGCATCAACTCTATAATCACTCAGCAAGTCCCCAAACATCTACCTCCTAAATATCTCATTTGTCCAGTCTCTATTCTCCTTTGTGCTGACATTGCTCTAATTTAGGTCCCCCCACATCTCTGCCTAGACTACTGAAATAACCTCCTGGGTTTTGATACCCTTGATTGTAGTTATTGTCCATTCTAGTTTCCATGTGAATCTGGTCTTTTCTGATCTTATCACTCCCTTGTGCAAAATTCCTGAATGGATCACCACAACCCAGAGGATGGTATCCAAACCCTTCAATGCCCTTCATAATCTGGGCCCTGCCTGATTAATTCATCTACTATTCCCATCACCTTACAGTTCAGCAACACTGAACTAATTGCAGCTCATTCTATCTTGTTCTTTTTGTGCATTTGCACATGTTTTTCTTTCTGACTATTTTATGTTCCTTGCCCACTATCTACCTAAGAAACCTCTATTCTTTCTTCAAAATTCAGCTTTCTTCTCACTTCCCCTTGAAACTTCTCTCACTTCTCTTCCAGGTGGACCTAGATGTTCCTTCCTGAGTGCCAGCACTCCACTGAATCACACTTCCATTGTGACTTTGATCACCTCTCTCCATTGGACTAAATGTTTCTAGATGGTAAAACTGTTCTTTCCATCTTTAAGCCCCCAACAGACTACTATAATGCTTGACATGGTAAGCACTCAAGGAAGTGGATGGAAGGGAAGGAGGGAGGAGTAGGAAGAAGGTATATAGAAACAGGAAAATTGAGACGGAGACAGAGCCAAGATTCAGTGACTTTGAAATTCTGCCTGTTTCAAACTTTGAAACTCATCTTCTCCAGGAGTTAACTTACCTCATCAAGCCTTCCTAAATTTCTAGAAGATTGAGACTTTTCTTCCCCACTGGTGGCCAGGCAAAACCTTTCATTATAGCCCAGGTGCATAGCATTTGTTTACACATTCTATAATTCCAGAGCAAAAAGAAATTTTAAAAACCATTGTTCCTCTAATCTCCCAGGTGGTTCATTTTACAGCTTTAATAACCATATCACAGTTACTGCTTTATTTTTTGGAACTAGAACCACAGACTTCATTCTTGCTCTTACCCTTTTTCCTTTCTTCCTCTGCCCCCCACCACCTCCCCGCCCCTGTTCTCCTATGCCTACCACACTCAACCCTTCTCTTCCAAGTTTTCTCTTCCCAGGGCTCTATGTCATGAAAAATACAAGTAAACAGGAATTTTTACTTTAAGAAAAATAACTCCTCCCCTTTCCCAATTTTTACATCAAAAGACATTGTTAAAAGCCATTCTTTTCTATGTTTAGAGATCTGTAACTTCTCTGGGGAAAGAAGGTAGTTGATTAAGAGTAAGGTCCCTTAGCGCCAAACATTCCAAGTAAGTATAAGTGATTTGTTATGGTGGGTTTTTATGTAGAAGACTTGAATTCTTGTTCCAGTTCTTATACTTGTAAACTCTGAGACCCTGAAGAAGTAATTTCTAGACTTCTTGGAATGACAACCATTTCATTTGCAATTGAGAGCATTAGATAGATGATTTATAAGGTCCTTACTGCTCTGGGGTTCACTGGCTCTGCTATTTTCGGCATCTTGAATAACCAGATTCTTCTGGCTATTATCTGGTTATTATCTAGATTTATTATCTTACTATAGCAAAAGTGGTAAAAAAAAAAAAAGAGAGAGAGAAAGAATAAACTTTTATTTTTTAGCATAAACTCTTAATGTGTATCTATGTCTTCTTGAGTGTTAAGATGAGGCTCGTGACATACATACCTCAGCTGATTATTTCTAGTGAAAAAAAATTAAGCATTTAGGGATATCTTCTGAAGAAGTTCTCTCCAGATCTTCCTACAGGCAACAATGGTGAAGAGAGTGGCCATCATTGGAGCTGGCGTCAGTGGCTTGGCCTCCATACGGTGTTGTCTGGAAGAGGGGCTGGAGCCCACCTGCTTTGAAAGGAGCAATGGAGTTGGAGGTCTATGGGAATTCTCAGTGAGTAAGACAATAGAAGGTGATGGGTTTACACTGCAAATCAAATGTGAACAGTTCTTTCATTTCAGACTTGATCACAAATGCTTCAGATGCTCTGGAAAATCAAACCTCTCTCCCATCCTACTCAAGTCCTATCACTTAAATGACCTATCATTTAAACTACCTCATAAGAGGACTTCTCCAGCTCATTAAATGTTGCCACCTACATGGCAGAGCCCAAATCTCTAGGCCTTTAAGTGGTAAAATGGTCAGTAGTTGACAGAAAAACTATACTACTGCCTCCCTATGTAACTGAAAGATCCTATGCCTACTGCTATTAAATCCTGAAAACATGGGCATGGGGGTAGGGGACATGTGAAAAAGAAAAACTAGACTGGGGTCAGAAGTCCTGAGTTCCAGTATCAACTCTGATTTTTTAAGCAGACAGACTTCAGGAAAGTCACTTTTTTTCTTTCCACCCTTCAAATGCTCCTTAGTCAAATGCAGAAGTTGAAAATTAAGTTCCTTCTAACCTACCTCCCAATTATAGCAGGATATGATTTTTTAATTAATTCATGTCTATTAGGCACAGAAGTTATTATAAATGTTGATTGTGTATGGTGTATACATGGGTATTAAATACTCTTGTCAGGCCATGTCCAGAGAGAAAAATAATTATCTCTGCCATTCGGTTCATTGCTAGAAAAAAAATATAATCAGGAAATAGTCATTATAAACCCAATTCTTAAATTTCAAAAACCAGCTTTGGGAAACTTCCAGATTTTCTGTCCTGAACTTCCCAGCCATTAGGATTAGATATAGATGATACTTATTTGGCTTGAAAATATTCTAGCCACATCATTTATCTTGTAACCTCAGTCTGTCCTGGTCTCTGTATTGCCCAACCTGCAACAATAGGTTGCTCTGGGGGTCCTATAACTCTGAAAATATTGCATGAAATACAGAGCATCAATTTGTATTTTCCACTAGGAAATAATCAAAGATTTTTTTTAATGAATTCAAAAATTTTAATTTACATTTTATCAGGGAGACATGACCAGCTTAATCTAAACCATGAAATGGTTGTTTATTGACTTATTAGAAGTAATTAAATGCTGCTTGAGCATCTATTTTGACAGAGTGTTGTACTAAGTCCTGGGATGACAAATATGTGTCATAACCACTTTACATAAATGGTTTCTACTTCATTTGGTGTAGTAAGCCTTAAAATAGGTCCACAATCCTGTAACAGAAAAACTCATTTAATAGCAAAACCTGTCCTGAAGTCATATAGTCAGGAAACAGGATTGAACTGATATGAGGCTATGTATATAGTCTTTCTCCAACTCCATGTTTTTCTGTAGTAATTTTATTACATTTGACAATAAGGTGTTGCACCAGATCTCACTAGGGATACTAAGGAAAAACTTCAAAAATCTACAAATTCCAAAATGTTAATATATCTGGTCCTAAGAGTTCAAACAAAAGATTATATAACTTTACAACAAGATAGCCCTTGGTGAGTGTTAGTTAAATAAACAAGTGCCTTGAGATTTATATGAGGCTGGACTCCTAAAATACTAACAAGTCAAGAGAAATTTCCTACAGGGATAACACTTACTGAGACTTGAAAGATGTTCTCAGATGAGAAAAGTAAAGAACCATCATGTGACACAGCTCCAGAGAGCGGGACAAAAGTACAGACACCAAGAGTGTGCCAGCATCAGGTGGGAAAGGCTTCTAGGTAGCAGTGACCAGCAATCCATGAAAGGTGCAGAGAAGGCAATGAACATGGTGTATACATGGATCTGTAAGTTAACCAGTGCAGCCAGATGAGAAAATTTATATTAGGAAACATTAGATGATAGATCAATATGATTCAAAGTCAGTCCCTGGGTTATCCACAAGAGGGAAAGATATCTTTTTCATAAAGTCGTTGTGTATAAGCAGAATTATTCTCAAAAGCCCTGTGGGAGTATAAACATATACAAATATTCTAAACTTTAGCCCTCTCCACACGCCCCACTTCTTCCTTCTTTTCTAAGAAAAGTTGCTCGGTATGCAGTATTATCAGAGAGGAATTTTTGAAAAGTGTGCTACATTAAGCTTTTATCTTGCAAGTTCTGCCATGTAGAAGGTATTCTGGAAGAGAGAAACCTGAGAATTCTGAACTTTTCTCTGTGTGCTTTTGCTGTAAAATAAAAACTAAATGGGATTTAAAAACTAGCAGGCTGAATGTAAGCATGTCTTAAATTTTATAGACTCTAATATAGGACCTCATGACCTCAAAAGATTTTGTTGTGGCTGTAATAAAAGGTTGCTCAACAAGCCACATACAATAGGTCATTTGGATTGCAAAGGGAAAAGTATTGAATCAGAACTATCTGAAATTTTGTTTCACTCATTCATTCCTTTATTCATTCAGCAAATACATATTTGCAGGCATAGCTGCAGACCATTATACAGAGCGAAGTAAGCCAGAAAGATAAAGACCATTACAGTATACTAACACATATATATGGACTTTAGAAAGATGGTAATGATAATCCTATATGCAAAACAGAAAAAGAGACTCAGATGTATAGAACAGACTTGTGGACTCTGGGAGAAGGCGAGGGTGGGATGTTTCAAGAGAACAGCATTGAAACATGTATATTATCTAGGGTGAAACAGATCACCAGCCCAGGTTGGATGCATGAGACAAGTGCTCGGGCCTGGTGCACTGGGGAGACCCAGAGGGATCGGGTGGAGAGGGAGGTGGGAGGGGGGACTGGGATGGGGAATACATGTAAATCCATGGCTAATTCATTTCAATGTATGACAAAAACTACTGTAATGATGTAAAGTAATTAGCCTCCAACTAATAAAAATAAATGGAAAAAAATAATAAAAAATTTAAAAAAAAATTTAAAAAAAAGAGGTACAGCAGGCATGCAATAGTCTAAAAATGGAGAGAAAAGAAGTCTTAGAGTAATCATAATACAAATGAATAAACAGAATATGATTAGGGTAGTAAAGACAATTAGAACTTGGTGAAAGCAGAGATGACTTCCAATGGGTGGAAAGAAGATAAGGAAAGGCATGAGAAGGGGACAACTTTTGAGCTGGACCTTGAAGGTATATCTAAGCAAGCAAAAATGGGACTGATAAAATGGGAATGTGAAAGAAGGTCAAGGCAGACTGCTAAAATGCATGCACAATAGTTTTGAATTCGCCTCTGACCTTGCCCTCAAGTTACTTATGTTCTAGTAGGAATAATAAGAGATTATACAATTACAACCCAAGACAGACAATTCTAACATGCTCCATAGCATGACATCTTGTCCTAGACATCCAGTTCTAGGACAAGATCTCCCAGCCAGTGGGGAGCATCTGAGCTTAATTTCTTCCCTACTGGCTCAAACTACCCCACATATTTAAATAGTGAAAATGTGAACTCTCTGGAGCTACTCTCTGTTGTTACATAATATTTTTGTTTTCCACTGTTTGCAGAACAGTCTTTTAGGGAAAATTCCAAAGAGCTGTAGGGCATGTACTCTTCTCTTCTTTGTTATGATTGGCTGGAGTCCAGTGGTGAAAGAGTCCAGCAATTCATTAATGATGGAAATAATTCATGGTCTTACCACCTCTGTTTCTCAGAGCAAAATCATACATTTTTTAAACCAGTCTCCAACCCACAGCTCAGCCCTCCCTTTAGTGGGCAGCTTAGAAAACTCCTTCTCACAAACATTAACACAAGTTACTGGCTATGGGTGAATAGTAATAGACCCAAACATGAGAACCCACCAAGCCAAAGCCTTAACTCTTTCTCTGACCTTAGCAGAAATTTCCAAGTGAGGTTTAAAAAGTTAAAATCTCTGGGCTTAGTTATCATGAGAAATGCAGTAACCACGAGTAGAGGAAGTTTATTTTTGTCACTTAAGGGGAAACAGTGAAGACCCAGCAGCCCCTCAGAGACACAGTTCTCTCATACGGGGTTGTTGGACTGGAGGGAGTTAGCTGTCTTGAATCCAGGAGCAATATAATATTCCATACTTTTCCTTCCTTTCATGAGAATTCCTTCAAGATTTGGGGAAAGATGGGTTGCCAACTTCTAGATGTACTTTCAAGGCAGCACATTGTGTGAACTTTTATCCTGTTCTTCAGGGAGGAAATGTTTGTTTTGAACTTAGCCTTCCACTGCTCCTCAAAAGAGGCCACTTTTCAATTACATGTTGGTTTTACTATAAGAGGCCAAGATTTAACACAAGTTCTAAGGCTTCTTGTTTCTTTTGTTTCTTTGGTGAGGAGTGAATGGCACTAGTTGGTGAGTTCAGGAACTCCTCAAGCACAGAATTCATTTACACTACAGAAGTGGTCCTCAGACATGGTCCCTGGACCAACAGCATCAGCAGCACAGGGATCTTGTCAGAAACGCACATTCTCGGGCCTCACCCCAGACACACTGAGCCAGAAATTCAGAGGTGGGACCCAGGAAGTGACAGTCTAAGGAGCCCTTCAGGAAATGACTTATTTAGAGGGTTCTATGGCTAGTGAAGAGAAGAGTTCACCGAATTCCATACAGCCAATCAAACAGGCTAAAAGCCACAGCTTCCATTGGACTATTTAGTTATGTTCTTGAAAATGAGTATGAGATCAGACCCAGTGCTGTGACTGCGGGGAAAAAAGAGCTAAAGTGGAGCTAATCAGAGCAAAAGGACCAAGACCAAAGATTCACCAGCTCTGGGCCAGGTGTTGTTGAAGGCTCTCCTTTCCATGTCTTACAGACAACGGTCAATTTTTTTCATTTTTTTTTTTTTTAACATATAGAAAAGATTTCAATCAACTGAGCATTGAATAGTCACTGAGGGGAATGCCATTCTTGGTTTCCTTTTTAAGCCCTATTATTATTCTTCAGTTTGGTCACTCAGTCGTGTCCAACTCTTTGCAACCCCATGAACTGCAGCACGCCAGGCTTCCCTGCCTGTCACCAACTCCCGGAGCTTACTCAAACTCATGTCCATCGAGCCAGTGATGCCATCCAACCATCTATTCTTCTGTCATCTTATTCTCCTTAGGACCATTCAGAAGAAGGCAGAGCCAGCATCTACAAGTCTGTGTTCACTAACTCTTCCAAAGAGATGATGTGCTTTCCAGACTTCCCATATCCTGACGATTACCCCAACTACATGCACCAAAGCAAGGTCCAGGAATACATAAAGACATTTGCTCAAAAGAAGAAACTTTTAAGATATATACAGTTTGAGGTAAGGACCTTGTAACTTGTGCTGTTGACATCAATATGTTTAAGGATTAGAGGAGAAGTAGAGATACAGGACATTATCTTAGAAAACAGAGTCAAAGGTTTGGACACCTCACCAATCAAACGTTGGTTCAGATTATAAAGTACTCATAAATTGTTTTTATTTCCCCTTAAAACGTGTTCTCCAAAGAATCTAAGAGCTTTTAAAACATCATAGAAAGTGGTGTAGGCAGCTGTACCAGTCTAATGAGTTTTCCACCCTCACACATTTATGTTTCAGAAACAACCCCAAAGTCTCTTCACACTTAGACTTCTGTAGGTCCAATGCCCAAGGAGTTGTGATTCTAATAGATGTGGCATTTGTTAGAGACTCTGCCTTTAAGAAGAAAGTAACAATGTAAAAGAATAATTTAATTGCCCTCATTCTTCACACACTTAGTTCCTTAGATTAGAAGCCTTAGGAGTTATGGCATAGCAGCATTGTCTCCGTAATTATAAGTAATACTTCACATTTGTTTAGAACTCAACTTCAATCCATTAGATACGTGCAGAGCACATATATATAGTGGGGAAAATAAGAAGCAAATCATAAATTGAAACTTTACTTAATATTTTATTTATTTATCTTATTATATTTTAAATAATTTTACTTATACCAAGCTCCGGGAGTTGGTGATGGACAGGGATGCCTGGTGTGCTGCAGTCCATGGGGTCACAAAGAGTCAGACACGACTGAGTGACTGAACTGAACTGATATCAACACAATAGTCATACAATGGAAGTGACTAATATTTCCAAAGGATAGTGTCCTTATATTGCAAAACAGAGATCAAGGATTGAAGCCTGAGATAATCCCATATTATTGGAGTAGATAGAAGAGGAAGCCAGAGAGGAAGAAGCCATGAATGTCAATGTAGAGTGACAGCAAGCAAATGACATGGCACCTTTCATAAGAATGCTCAGTGTAATGTATCCCAAATCTACTAATGAGATGTCAAAAAATAAATATATCCCAGTGAGTAATTATTCTTGTGAAATTTGAAGATTCACTGTGACTTCCTATTTTAATGCCTTTTCATATTATTCTCAATGACCATGAAAACACACAACAATTATTTTCTCCACAGAAATACTGCAAGGAACAAAAAACAAACTAAAAAACTTCATAAAACTGTAAATAGAAGCAATTTATTTCTGGTTTTCTTTAAGACCCTGGTTACTAGTATAAAGAAATGTCCCAACTTCTTGGTCACTGGCCAATGGGAAATTGTTTCAGAAAAGGATGAGAAACAGGAATCTACTATTTTCGATGCTGTAATGATCTGTTCAGGACACCATGTATACCCCAATCTACCAACGGATTCTTTTCCTGGTAAGTTTGGAAAATATATAAGAATCTTATACACAAACTTCAAGGAATAGGATAGAGTTTTCCACAGATTGTACATAATGCTCATTCTTAGGGTTCCAAATATTTTTTTAAAAAATTAAGTCTGATGATATGTCAAATATACTTATCATTGGCCTCATCCTAAAAGAATCAAGGACTTGCAGATCAGAGATTAGATGAATACACAGATCCATTGAGAAGAAACTTGGGTCTTAAAATGTCATCAATATCCACATTTTGCAAATTAACTTTAAAAATCACAGTGAGTGTGTGAGTGTGTATGTGTGTGAGTGTGTAGTGATACATTTCATTACTCTGCAGAAATGGCAAATAGCAAATAAATACATAAGCAACCTCCCTTCCTTTTTCCTTTCTTCTTCCTTCCTCCCTCTTCCCTCCTCCTTTCTTCCCCCCTCCTTCCCTCCTATCTTCCTCCCCTCCTTCCTTCTTTCTTTGAAACAGGAATGCATCCCCTCAAAAATATTAGAGCTCATATGTCAGAGGCTGATGTTCATGAAAGAGAAAGTCAAAGTCGCTCAGTCGTGTCCGACTCTTTGCAACCCCATGGATTATAAAATCCATGGAATTCTCCAAGCTAGAATACTGGAGTGGATAGCCTTTCCCTTCTCCAGGGGATCTTCCTAACCCAGGGATCAAACCCAAGTCTCCCGCACTGCAGGTGGATTCTTTACCAGCTGAGCCACAATGAAAGCCCATGTTGTTCATAAACCAAGGTAATTAAAAGTGTAGAGATTAAGGGAGAATAGAAGATTGACATCAGTAATGCTAAGAGGCAGCATATTTGGGGGTTCTGAATGTAGAATACCTGGGCTCAACGCCTTATTCTACTAGAAACTTACCATGTAACCCTAGACAACTCACTAAACTTATTTGTCTCAATTTCCTTTTCTTTTAAAGTAGAGATAATACTAATACCTACCATTCAGAGATGTTATCAGGATTAAATGAACTAAGACAAGTAAACCCTCAATAAATACTATGATTATTAGCAAATATAAATTCAAATTCCTTAAGTTTTTTGTGATGTCTTCAAAAGTAATTAGTTAGGTATTTAGTGTCAAAAATCTCCAAAAGGATAAGTACATTTCAATTAGGGAAATTTTTAAGATTAAAATTGCTAATAGGAGAATCAAACATTTAAAAAATAGTTGGGGGGAGAGAAAATCATTTCTTCTGGAAGTAAACTCAAACCACTCCCCATGTTCCATTTAGGCCTCGACCGATTTCAAGGCCACTTCCTCCACAGCCGGGACTATAAGGGCCCAGAAGTGTACAAGGGGAAGAGGGTCCTCGTGATTGGCCTCGGAAACTCAGGATGTGACATTGCTGTTGAGCTCAGTCGTCTGGTTACACAGGTATGAGATCTAAAAGGTCTGGGGAAACAAACTTAGGATGGCTATGCTAAAACAGCAGTATCCCAAGCACTGAGGATGGCACTGACCATGTCATACCACAACAGATCTACCTGCTGTACATGCCAGTCAAATCAAGGACTTGAGACACTCTCGCTGTGAAGCAATGTTATGTGTCCCATGTTAATAAGGAAGTATAGTCTGATGAAACCAGAGTTAAGTGTATGAATTTTTGGTTTTAATTTTATGTTCTAATCACGTCCAAGCAAACTGGTTGCTGGTCAAGCTCTGCCTTTATTTATTTAACAGTACTTCTTATCACCTACCATGCAACAGTACTATGCTTACCACTCTGGAAGAAACAAAATTTAGGTCTTACTATTGTTTACCTATTCAACAGCCAACACATAACAGGCTGCTTTTATGTGTCAGCACTGCATGAAGCTAGAAATAAACACAGAAGTAAGTCAAACTACTTCTTTACTTCAAGGAGGAATAGATAGGTATAGGTAGGATGACAGGTACATGATCATCATGAAAGGAAGCAATGAGACTTTAGCTGTGGCTGTGGCAGCACCATGACTAGATAACCGAACTTTGCGTGGATGAATTGTCAAAGAAGTTTTCCCAGAGGACTCCATGCTGAGTCATGAAAGTGAAAGTGAAGTCGCTCAGTCGTGTCCGACTCTTAGCGACCCCATGGACTGCAGCCTAGCAGGCTCCTCTGTCCATGGGATTTTCCAGGCAAGAGTACTGGAGTGGGTATACATAACCAATAAACCCAAAAGAACTTAACATATTTCTAATACAAGATTAAACTTGTCACAGCTGAATAGAGAGCTCTCTTACTCCCAGGTGTCAGGTAGTCATTCTTGTAACACCTATGCACTTGATCTCTGGGGTGGAGAGAGGGTAGTTCTCCCTCTAAATACCTAGTTTCAATTATGGACTATTCATCTTTACCTACCTCTTTAAAAGTGTTCCTATGGTAAAGCGTTCTACCTACAGTGCGGGAGACCTGGGTTCGATCCCCGGCTCAGGAAGATCTCCTGGAGAAGGGAATGGCAACCCACTCCGGTGTTATTGCCCACCCCCACCCCCCAAGAAAAGGGGCTCAACGGGACATTTTCTGGAGAAGGAAATGGCAATCCACTCCAGTACTCTTGCCTGGAAAATCCCACGGATGGAGGAGCCTGGGAGGCTCCAGTCCATGGGGTCGCAGAGTCGTACACAACTGAGCGACCTCACTTTCACTTTCACCTGGATATTAAGGGAAATGTATGGAGATATCCATAGATATGTACTAACATAATTCAAAGGAAATAGGTGCTCAATAAATAAATTTTAAATGGATATTTAAAACTACCTAAGGATTATTCAGTCAGATTCCCTTGGGTTATCACAAAAGTGATAAAATAGATAAGCAGTCGGGCTTGTCTTGGGCTAACGCAGCTGCCCAAGGTCCTGGAGTGTGTGTGTAGCAAGGACTGGAAAAGGAGACCAGGCACAGAGAATAGAATTAAATCCTTGGCATTTCCTCAGGCTAATTTCAGCCAACAACTTAGCTGCATTTCCCCTACTTAGCCAAGCAACTACCACCAACCACTACCATTGACTGATCTTTACTAAACCAACCATTTTAGTCTTAAGAGTCTGCAAAGAGGATCCTGCTGTGATTTATGTCGGAGAGTGTTTTGCCTATGTTCTCCTCTAGGAGTTTTATAGTTTCTGGTCTTACATTTAGATCTTTAATCCATTTTGAGTTTATTTTTGTGTATGGTGTTAGAAAGTGTTCTAGTTTCATTCTTTTACAGGTGGTTGACCAGTTTTCCCAGCACCACTTGTTAAAGAGGTTGTCTTTTTTCCATTGTATATCCTTGCCTCCTTTGTCGAAGATAAGGTGACCATAGGTTCGTGGATTTATCTCTGGGCTTTCTATTCTGTTCCATTGATCTATATTTCTGTCTTTGTGCCAGTACCATACTGTCTTGATGACTGTGGCTTTGTAGTAGAGTCTGAAGTCAGGCAGGTTGATTCCTCCAGTTCCATTCTTCTTTCTCAAGATTACTTTGGCTATTCGAGGTTTTTTGTATTTCCATACAAATTGTGAAATTATTTGTTCTAGTTCTGTGAAAAATACCGTTGGTAGTTTGATAGGGATTGCATTGAATCTATAGATTGCTTTGGGTAGTATAGCCATTTTGACAATATTGATTCTTCCAATCCATGAACACGGTATATTTCTCCATCTGTTTGTGTCCTCTTTGATTTCTTTCATCAGTGTTTTATAGTTTTCTATGTATAGGTCTTTTGTTTCTTTAGGTAGATATACTCCTAAGTATTTTATTCTTTTTGTTGCAATGGTGAATGGTATTGTTTCCTTAATTTCTCTTTCTGTTTTCTCATTGTTAGTGTATAGGAATGCAAGAGATTTCTGTGTGTTAATTTTATATCCTGCAACTTTACTGTATTCGTTGATTAGCTCTAGTAATTTTCTGGTAGAGTCTTTAGGGTTTTCTATGTAGAGGATCATGTCATCTGCAAACAGAGAGAGTTTCACTTCTTCTTTTCCTATCTGGATTCCTTTTACTTCTTTTTCTGCCCTGATTGCTGTGGCCAACACTTCCAAAACTATGTTGAATAGTAGTGGTGAGAGTGGGCACCCTTGTCTTGTTCCTGATTTCAGGGGAAATGCTTTCAATTTTTCACCATTGAGGGTGATGCTTGCTGTGGGTTTGTCATATATAGCTTTTATTATGTTTAGGTATGTTCCTTCTATTCCTGCTTAAGAATACTGGAGTGGGCTGCCATTTCCTTCTCTAGTGGATCTTCCCAACTCAGGGATTGAATGTATGTCTCTTGAGTCTCCTGTGTTGGTAGGTGGATTCTTTACCACTGTGCCATCTAGAAAGTCCCTGCATAATGAAGTCTTCATAAAAATTTCCTCACTGAAGGGGTTTGGAAAACTTCTAGGTTAGTGAACATGTCCAAGTGCAAGGAAGGTGGTATAAGTGGGGAGGGTGTGACTGTTCCGAGCCCCTCTGCCATCCCTGCCCTATGCCTTTCTTTCATCTGTGTTACTGAATTGTATCCTTTTATCACAAACCAATAATCTAGTAAATGGATTGTTTTCCTGAATTCTCTGAGCTCTTCTAGCAAATGATTGAACTTGAGGATGCTGATTTACGGCTGGTTGATCAGAAGTACAGGTGATAACCTGGTGGGATCATGATTGGTGCCTGAAGTGGGTGGAGGTGGTGAGGCAGTCTTGTGGAAATGAGCCCTTAACCTGTGGGATATGAACTAACTCTGGGTAGTTATTGTCAGAACTGATTAACTCATAGGACAGTCAGTGCATGACCATCAAGAACTGGATAATTTGCTTGTTGTGGAAAACCCACACATTTGGTGTCAGAAGTGCTCTATGGGTAGATTAGTAGAAAATATTAGTTTTCTCTCACAGAGTGGTTTTTTTCTCTTTAATATGTAAATAATTTTTTCCATTTGTTTAAAAAAAAAAAAGAGTCTGCAAAGATGACTGTGGCTTTGTAGTATAGTCTGAAGTCAGGCAGGTTGATTCCTCCATTTCCATTCTTCTTTCTCAAGATTACTTTGGCTATTCGAGGTTTTTTGTATTTCCACACAAATTGTGAAATTATTTGTTCTAGTTCTGTGAAAAATACCATTGGTAGCTTGATAGGGATTGCATTGAATCTAAAGATTGCTTTGGGTAGTATAGCCATTTTGACAATATTGATTCTTCCAATCCATGAACACGGTATGTTTCTCCATCTGTTTGTGTCCTCTTTGATTTCTTTCATCAGTGTTTTATAGTTTTCTATGTATAGGTCTTTTGCTTCTTTAGGTAGATATAC